AGCCAGTGTTTGAAAGCAATGCTTTTTGATTTAATTAATATTAATTATTTTGTAATAAACCTACCAAATTAGTTAACCTCTTCATCATCGTGCTTTAAAGTTTAAACCAATCATCGATTTCCATTTTATCTCCATTTATGTTTTCAAACGTAATCCGTAAAATATATTATATTCATACAGTTTAAAGATACTTCGTCTTGGTAACCTTATATTTTACAAATAATTGACTATAAAATCTTAACTTTTGTGTTTTGAAGAGTAGAATATTATAACCATAAAAAGTTTCACTAGGGTAAAATATTTTCCTGCCACTATTCACTTGTCTCGTAACTATAAGGGTTTTCAATTGAATAATTATGTTTTGGATAAATCATTAATATTTTCACTAGTCAGTTTTTAATTTATATAATTAGTAATTATAATATGCATAACTCTTCAACACCAATCAAAGGATAAATAAATATTATATATTACAAATAATAAGTAACGAATAAGACAATGCAGCACAACTATTGATGTACCTACCTACTGAATTAAATATATAATATGTAGGTCATTTTCAGACTGAGCTCATTAAATTTTAAATCCTTCATAAGTTTAAGTCTATGGCCCGTAATGCAGACAATATAGTAGGTAGAGAACTTTTCTTTTTTTTTTATCACGCCATGAGAAGCGTTGGCTGTCGAGTTTACGCACGTGCATGGTCGGAAGTTTTGATGTAGGTTTAGCCGAGGACGTTTTTGTGTGGGCGATAAAGGGGAGGGCAAAAGAGAAGAAATGGTAGTTCTAGTAGAAGGTTTGGTATTGCGACGCGGTATATTCTCCACATTAAACATTCACCCCCCGAGTAGTAGGCACTTTTTTTTTGTAAACTCGTCGTTCTCGAGCACGTGTTGTCGCCCTTCATGAAATAACAAAAATGAACGGCTCCTCGACACACTTCTCTTTCAGTAGCTAGAGAGAAAAGCGGAAGGGTGAAAAAATAAAATAGAAATCGCATAAAATATTCAAAACAGTTTTGACAGTGTTTTACCACGGATTTTCCAATCCACGTTTCATTGCATAATTTAACAACATGAGATGGGTACTGAACACACTGCACTGTATCCCCGCTTGTTCATTGAGGTAGTGCATTGCTTATATACACAAGAAGCAATTTACTTTCCGGTCGAGATAAGGTCTAGGAAAACATATTTCTATTCGAATCTTCAGACGGTATGTTTACTTGAGCGATTCAACCAAATCAGCATTTACTTGAAGTCAGCGTATTTATAAATATACCAATACTTTAATTTACTGTTGGCAAACATGAAAATAATAACAATATTAGCATATAAATTAATTTAATAAATATGAAAGGTAGTGTCTTAATTATAGACATACATTTAAACAAAATTGAATTGACTATAACCATTATTATACTTCGTTACTAATCCCTAGTATCGTGTGAGATCATAGATATTATATTTCTATTTCTAAACCCCGATCTATATCCAAAGTCTAAAATGGTGTTTAAATTTTTTGGTTAGGAATTAGTATAGTAAATGATTACATTTGAAAAATTATTGTTAGTTAAACAGTATATGCAAGCCTGTCTTACACATTAAACAATACAATTTGCAAAATCATAAGTGGAGCGAGGAACGAGTTGGCTTAACATTGATATTATTTTCTTTCCGTCCATAGTATAATATATATTTTACTGTTAATTTAGAGAGAACCAGTGCACTTTAAGGAGTTCATTTTTTTAAAAGTTTAAGGAAAAACTTTCAATAAATTACAAGAACAAAAGAAAATTATAAATATCTAAGAGTTTCCTCATAAAATAAAAATCGATTGATTTATAGAAATTCAAAAAGATATAATAATCCTAAAGTCTTAAAAGTTCAAATAATTACTGATTATTTAACATAACTATATAAGTAACATAGGCATAACAAAATGTTTTAAAATTCACATTTTATAAGAAACTTAAAGTTTAAAAGCATCCTATTATGACGAGCTTACGCTATTATTGTAAAACAAGCTCCATTCAGAATCGTTTTTTAATACGATTATTCATCACTGTGTTAAAAAATAAAATGTATGGCTATACAATCCCGTGCTAAGCGAAATGAAACAAGTTAGAAATCCTTGATCCCTGCTCCTGTTGACTTTTTAATTTTATGTTGTACAAGGCGCATAATGTAGTTAAATGAATGAGCACAATAATGTACACACTAATTAACATAATCGTAATCTTAAACATTATAGTATATTATATATATCTTATTTATTTACTCTAATATGTCCGTGGTTGAAATGGGAGTCTTGAATATAAATAAATATAAAATTATAGAAGAAATTATAGCGATATTCGCGCTAATTATAGATTATAATAAATTTACTTTAGCGCATAACGACTATGCGATACATATTATAGTTGTAGTACCTATACTTGTGCCCACTTTGAATACAAGTGTACAGCTAAATTGTAATTTTAAATTTAAGTTAGAATATTATAATTATTTTAAATAATATTCGTCAGTTAAATATTTTAAAAATGTATTCTTTTTGTAAAATCCTTAAGGACATTAATAATTTTACAACACCGCGTACCATAAAAAAAAATTAACTTCATTTAATGATATATATTATATTATAATTAGGTACTATAGAAATAAATTATAAATTATAAAAATAAAATAAATTATCAAAAAAATATACAATCAGATAATTAATTAATTAAGTACCAACACAAACGATATAATCAATCAATTATGTGGATACCCATAACGAATTTAACTCTTGAAATAACGTGCAGAATTTAATTTTATAATATTGCAGGTATTTAGCCTTACGGCTCGTCTAAATTTGATTTGTGACAAAGGGAAATGTTGTTTTTAATCATAGGTTTCTGCGAGTCCAGTGAGAGCACTTTTTTATTTAGGCTTGTCAGACTACGACGTGGATGGAGGAGAGAGTCGGTTTTATTTTTCTTTCTGTCCCAGCAGCAGTAAATAATACGGTATTCTCGGCAATTTGACAACAGACCCTCTTAAAGAGCTTCGCTATAAAAGGCCATAAAACCAAAATAAAAATGTCCTATATATCGTATTCTTAATAGCCACTTAAGTTTACACTAGGGTAATAACTTTGACTTTTTGTTTTCAAGATTAAATGATGTTTATAGAACACGCCAAATAATAACGGATGAGACGTAGTGAATATTACTAGCGAGTCCAAAATTGCATTCTGAGTACCAATTTTGAGTAGGTATTGCTCAGGTGCATTTTATTCTCTATGGTTCACGCACCACATCATATTTGACTAAAATCTGAATTCCAAAATTTATCGTAATAGATAATTCACAAAATTGTAAATCGATTTATGTCAATACACATAGAATGATTAACTAATGATACAACGAATAGGAATCCGTCTGCAATGCGTATCAGGTGGCAGGAAGCCAAAATAAAATTTAACATTTATCCAATACTTGCTAGGTAACTGTGTCTGGACCAAAAAACCTACTGTAAAAAACACCCACAAATTTACAAACCAACAAAACCAAATTGTGAGTATAAATGTGTTAAAATATAATGTATGTAATGTTGTGATACTTTAAAAAATGGGAGTTTGATAGCCAATAAATAAAATTATATTATATATATTTTTTTTTTCAACCCGAAGGTTGGTTTACAACTCCAATTCTCCATTCTAACCGATCCCTCGCCTTTTCTTTGAGTTCTTTGAAGGTTTTGACTTTTGCATCGATTTTAATTTGTCCTATATACGAGTTCCGCGGACGTTATATTATATATTAAATAAATATAATCGAAACCAATTTGATATAATATTATCTGTTTAATCATTAATTTAATATTGTTTTTAAATGAATAAAAATCTGTAAACAAAAAGCAACTCGAGTGGAATTCAAATGGACAATTTTTCCTCCTAAAAATATCTATTTTTTCCGTCTTCTGATCGTTCGAATAGGCAATAAAAAATATAATGAAAACCTGTTTAGATTCCTCGTTTTTCATTCTTTAGATATTATTCTTAACAACTTTCAACAAACTTGGACTTATACTGATTAAATTATAAATATGTCTTATTTCCCTCCCAATATTTTTATACGAAGGTACCCTAAGGTCGAAATGAAAATATATTATATTCAAATTCCAAGAACCGACCTATTCAATTAGATAACAATTATGGCCCACTTTTCTGCACTTATATAGTGTAGGTAGGTGTCTTACATGTTTATCTTTATTTGTTGTAGTAAAATCTTGGTAACATTTTAAAAATTAAAACGCAGTAGATAGTTGTATACCTTACTATAGCCTATAAGACAATACAAGAAATTAAAATATAATTAGCATTATTTAAATATATTTATATTAAGTCTTGGTCAATTATTCCGATATCATATTTTAAGTTTATATAATACAAGTTTCTATAAATCAATAAAATCTATTATTTTAATACTTTTTGAGTAGCTTAATGTTAACAAAAACATAATAACAACATGTTATTTATCTATCTTTAAATATTATGATTGAAGTTAATATTTTTTTTCTTATTAATATAGAATATACATATACATAATACTTAACATTATATAAATTTAATCATTAAAATATATACATTTTATAATATTTAATACAAATAAAGATATAACTAAACTTATATAACAAGTACCTACGGGTAACAATCTATTTTATATTATCCATAGGCAATAATTTGTAAAAAAAAATTGACAAAGTCAGTCCAGTTTTTTACGAACTTACTTAATTCTATTTATTTTTTTTATAAAACTATATTAACATAATATAGATTATCGGTGTAGTACTTACGTTGACTTATTGATCAACTATAATTTTAGATAATTATCACAGAAATATGCAGAATGAATAAAAAAGATATGTTTTTAAAATACTTATCAAAACGTAATAAAACGATTAGGAAGACAAATGAATAAACAAATAATTAACCGTATAATGTCTACTGTGAAGGAATTATTCTTTCTCGGATGGTGAACTTTGTACGTTACTACTTATTGTATCGATATATTTTTTCTGTGTACTATTTGATGTGCTGAAATAAAACACGAACGACGATGATAATTTAAATTACAAAATTACAAAAATAATTACTTAGTAAATTTGTTTTTTTTTTTTTTTTACTTACCTAATACAATCTTCTACTTCTTCTAATGTATCAGAAAGATAACTGCCTGTTTCTGGTAACATAAGTACAGACAAGCCACCAATGACGCTGACTGTTCCCAGTACCAATAACGGTAAGACTTTGCTCAACGGAGACTGTAACAGACGATTAGAAAAATAAGAATACAATTTAAATTTTAAGAGAAAATATATTCACAGGACTCACTAAGTTCCAAAGGTATGGCACCATAATAAGTGCAATTCCTGCTGGTATATTTGAAGTTCCCACGCCTAAATTCCTTATAACAGTTGGAAACAATTCGGCTGTGTAGAGAGGCATAATAACGTTTGACGACGACACGGAAAATTTGCCAGCCATCACCAACGATAGCGATATCCACTCATCCGTATCTAATTATATTATTATTGAATATATTTTAAAAAGTGTATAGAGTAAAATTTCAAAATATAAAATATCTAAATACCTGCTGGTAGAATAGTAGTTAGCAAACACGCAATTCCTCCGGCTACCATGGTAAGGCACAATGGAATTCTTCGACCCATTTTGAGCAATATTACCACACTAATCAATATTGCTGGAATTTCGACCAAACCTAAATTGAAATTCAGTATTGAATAATATTCTTAGTGAGAACACTTAAACTTGGTTATTTTGTATTGTATATTTGCATACTTTTAATTAATTACCATATATTTAAATAATTATACACCATATCAACGCAGTCGATTTATAAATAATAAAATATAAGTGGAGAATTCGTTGACATATTAATTTAAAAGATAAAATAAATATACTATTTTGTTATGAAAATTACCTGATATTATAGTGTTTATGTATATATTTCCACCGATGTTAGACAGATTAAGTACAAGCCCATAGTATACTAAGTATAGACTGAACCAAAGTATGTATAAAACAAGGGAAATCTTTCTAATGTTTTTGGTACGAAATAAATCTGAAACTCGTACTTTAGGTTTGCCATTAATTTCGAATTTGTTTATACTCTGAAACAAAATAAACAGTAGACTATAAAAACAATGTACTCAACAAGTATAAACTATAGCTATAGTCTATAGATAATAAATGAGTGATACTAAAATAAAAAATGGTTATTTTAATATTTATATTGTTTATTTCTAATTAATCAGTTATTAATATTAAAATATGAGTCAAATAACTTTTTAGTTTTTAGAGTTTGGCCTCCACATTACACAATGATTCTTGTATCGTTCCAGTGAAGTCATCAATATACGACCTACTATTAAGATGACCTATTTTAGTAAAACCAAAATATGACTCATGACATACATATACTTAATAATAATTAAGAATAATTTTACTGCGACAAATAATAACATTAACATTAAGTACATATATTTTACATTTATTTCACTAAACACAGTACCATATTAGACGTTGAATTAAAGAATGTTAATTTATACATTTTCTGCCAAAAAATTAAAAAGGTGTTATAACATAATTTTAATTTTTAAATTACTTGTTTAAGAATTTTGTCCATATTCACTGGCAAGGGGTGCTTATTGATTTTAGAGGCCTTTTCCAAAACTTCCATAGTCTCATCCACTCTGCCCATGGCCAATAACCATCTCGGAGATTCGGGAACAAACCTAATAATCCGTTTAAATAAAACAATGTGTTCGCAATATCTCGATATTTGATGTCTTACCAATGCAAAACCAAGAAAAATACGGCGGGTAAAGTGACACACCACTGCAGTAACCTCCATCCTCTGCATATGTATGCGATTCCGGATATAATAATGTAGCTCATAGGAACCGGGAGCAAGTAAAGAACTCCAGCGATTGTCAACCACTTACCACCGACCAGTTCCATGCCTATATTTAACAAAAAACCGTTATCAAATCAACACCGTTTAAAATAATATTATAATAATATGCAGAATACTTACACAACACAAAACCACTAAAGACGATGCTCACACAAACAAATCCCAAAATAAATCTCAATACCAGATAGAATTCAAACCAAGGACAAATAGCGACTAAAATGCCAAGAGCCAACTGCATGATTAAGGAAGCCATCAACGTCTTCTTTCTACCAAATCTACAAGCATAAAAATATTATATTATGGAATTATACATAATATTCGTTAAATCAAGCAAAATGTTCTAATTAAATTTAGATATTTTAAACCAAATTAACAACATATTGCAATGTTCTTTCAATAAATGATTCCCTTTAAATCTCCAAAAGAAAAAGAAACATGTAACTATATAATGAATTTACCCGAAATCTAATTTATATTTTCTACAATTACGAGTATTAACAATAATACCTACGTATTCGGGTATACGTGATGTTTAAACGAATTGTACAAACTCCGGAACAGATAATAAAGATATTAAATTATATAATGGTTGAAAATAAAAGGAAATGAAAAAAAAAATAGAGGAAATGATATAACATTTTGAACTTTCCTTTATTGTGTTGGTCGTTTCTATTTTTTCTTACGTTATTTATGTAGGTAGGTATACGCTAGTAAACTATTAATATCTACAAAAGCACATTATATGTTACTCTTTATTAAATAATAACATTACCACAGTATAAACTAACATCACTTTAAACGAATAAATTAAACAGAATATTATGACACTGCACATTTCACATGTTCAAGCTTTACATAAACAGTGTAGGTATATGCACATATTTTAACAAATTTCGTTACCAGTGTTTAATAATAAGATTTTACTGTTCATCTAAATAATTTTCGTAATCTGTTTAAAAGTTCATCCCTTTTTGTAAAAAGATTATCATATTATGAATAGTTGTTCTTTTAAAACTTGTCAAAATTTGACTTACCTGTCTGACACGAGTCCTGAGAAGAAACCTCCAAAAGCAACACCCATCAAGAACATCATCTCAGCAAAGTTTTTTAATTCTTTTCTGTCACAAACTAGGTTCCACTGTAAATCCGAGTATCATAATAAATTAAAAATGCTCATTTATTTTTAATAATATAAAAATTACTTCGGAAGTGATTGTATCACCGAATTCAGTAGTATTGAACTGCCACGAAGTACACGTTTTAAGCTCATATTGATCTGTTTTATTTTTAATTAATTCTCTGTAACTAAATTTACCGAGTAAACTTTCGTAGTCCAAGTCACGATAATGACAAGGATCGTATACTGAAACCTATGTATAAAACAAAAATATGTAGGTATAGCTTAGTAAAAACATTTTATCGGGGTTCACCTTCAAGTATATTATGTTAGGCATCTTATATAAGTTATCTACAATTATTAAAGTAGTAAAACTAAAAAGGATTATTGAAAAAGAAAATCCGTTAGGTTAAAAACTTTATAATTATATTAATAAAAAATATCTAACGACTGAAAACAATATCGACAAATAAAATAACAATACATTCGTCGAACATAAAATTGACACCTTGTATGGAATTATATTATATTATAATCACTTTGAAGTATTTTTATAGTTTTATTTCAACGACCATCGTAGTCAAGGATCTTAAAACTACAAACATCTCTGTTTCAACTTTCTCGCTAAAATAAAATATAGTACATATATCATCTAAAACTCAATACTAAGCTGTTCCAAAACTAAGTACCTATAATTAATCCAAAAAATGTTTATAGTTTTAAATTTAAAGAGATACCAGTGTTTCGTTCTGTTTTTCCATTAACATAATTTATTTATGGTTTTATGTTGTGTATTATTGGTTAAACAAATAACAATGTTAAGTTTTGATATTATATTTGATAATATATATATACAATAATCGCAATTATAAATGTTTCTTGATATTACAATATTTTCTTTGTAACTCACATTGCTTGTTGGTGATTCGGAGATTACACCACTTAAATTTTTCCATTCGTCCACGGATATCCGGTTCAGTACACCCGGCGGCGGTGTACACCAGAAGTCCGTATCTGCCCCCTGGAACGTTAGTACGAATATGTGCCATGTACAAGGCAAATTTAACAAGGACAAAATTAAAGTAAGCATAGCTTGCCATCGGCCGAATTCGCCAATGGCCATAGAAACTGGATCTTCATGTGTCTTTTCCGTTCGTTTGTCATCTTTGAAAACTCCGACATTACCTGAAACAAAAACAAATAAATGCCAAATTATAATTTAAAAATCACATGATAAAACTATAAAAGTAATAAAATGAAGTGGCATTGTATTTTATTTTTCTTAAATTATATTTAAAAGTTTTCAATATGTATGTATATTTTTTTTTATTAGCTTAGAATATAATATTACAATTACAAACATAATTGGATATTAAAACATACGAAAAAGCTGGTATGAGTACCGAAAACAATGTATAAATTATATCATTAATTTCAATTAGACTATTAATTATAGAGTATAAAACGAATAGCATAATGTACGAATAATATTCGATGTAAAATATCAAAGTTGACAGTTGAATAATTCGTGACTTGAAACTAGTAGGTACATGTACTACAGTACATTTTGAATGCGATAATTCATTCAAATAATAATCTGTAGAACTTCATACGTTTTATTGGGGGGAAAAAAATGCAATGGTAATAAATAACAATATTAGTGTAGCTTGCCACATCGAATAACAAACGATCCGGATTATAATATAATATCATATAGGTAACATATTATTATATGTTTTTACAATACTTCGATCGCATTTCAAACCGCATTTATTAATTAACAGCCGGAAACAATATCATTATTAATGGTCCTTGAACGGAGTGGAATTGCCACCGAGTGTGTGTGTTTGGAAAATCGTTATACATCGATAAGCGGTGGTTAGGGGGGAGGGGGCTTCTGCGAATGCATAGCCGGAGGATACGGAACGAAAAGCGAATATACTTCCGCTGGCATTGCGGTATACGGTTACTGGTTAGCCGGTTACATCCCGTTTGCACTCGTTGCACTCGTTATGATCTCGCAGAGGCCACTGGCCAGACACTGTATAATATTATTACCGATTATACGAAACCAAAGTCCGTCGTCCATCTTCCATTATTGCAGAACTACCCCTTGACGTAAGTATGCAAACGACCTGTCATATAACTGCTGCAGGACGTGCCTCTCCTAAAGCGACAATATAACAATATGATTCGACTGCTGAGCGTACATATACATGTAAATCGTGTCAAAAACGTGTGGAAAAACGATGTACAGTCGAGTCTCGATAACTCAAATATCTGCAAGGGGAATAAAAATAAATTCGACTCAAAAACACTTCAAGGGGGTGCTATAAAAATTCGAGGTTACCGAGCTACCGACACTCGACTGTAATATGATATAATTATTCGTCTGAAACCACCCCATAGTGGAAGGGGAGGGGATGTGAACGGTTACCAGTGTGCACTAGGTCTACCGTCGTCGTCCCGCGGCAGATCGTGAACGGATAAACGGAGAAAGGCTCATCGGCGCGGCAGAGATTGTTCGTCGTTTAATAGTATTATAATATACAAGTACCTATAATATAATATATGATATACATATTATAATAGTCGTACACATTATATTATCACCGTGCCAAGGATATTGGCCGACGATCGTATATTATGGTGCGTATATTATATTATTATATACCTACGCGTCGGATATACGATCGTCGCAGTGCGCGGGGACATGTAAACCGCGCATGCTGCATACGCAATATTATTATTATAAATTGATTACATCTCTGTCGACCTCCATATTGCGTTCGAATGTTAAAACCTATCAAACGAATCCGTTTACCGACGCAGCACACCGCTGATAAATAGCCGATTCCGGCCACGACGATCCGCCGTCTGTGCTGCAGAGGTTTCAGCGCGCGTACGGGTATGCTATGTCGGGTACGTCAGGTATATAATAGCTGCTACAACTGCATGCACCTCGAATGTTAATAAACATTATTGTCGTGCGCGTATCCCCTTGTCCTGTCTGTATCATATTATATCATATTATTATCATAATAATGTTATATTATAGCAGCTATACCTATTATGATGATGATAATAATACAATAAACCGACAGACAGAGTTTTCGTACATAATAGTGGCAATAGTGGGTACCTATTGATTTTGATGTTTAGCGCATTGTATACAATTATAATATTATATTACATCAACGCAGTCGATCATTTAAAAATTTTAAACCATGAACATAATCACATACGCACACGCGGTACCCAGACTCCTCGAATGTTAATAGACATTATCGTTCGAGTATAACGCCGAATCATCGCTATCATATCATTATCATAATGTTATATTAGCTATATTAAAATTAAGATAATAATATACAGACAAACAGAGTTCTCGTACGCGATTTAGTGGTTTACCTATTGATTTGATGTTCGGAGCAATGGTCGCGTATAATAATATTACTTCGACGAAGTTGAACGTTTACCAAATTTAAAAAGATGGAAGTTTTTAACATTTATTACTATGTAAAAGTAACCGTTGTTTTCGTTTATATTTTATCCGAACGTCGGTCATCACAGCACAGCATTATTTTTTAATATAAATAAAATACGGTACATTTTTAAATAGATGGTATTAAATATAAATGCATAATCATCGTTTATTTATTTGTTTTTGCTCATTTACTTGTTAGGTTTAAGGAAAACGTAATATTAAGTCAGAGTGAGTTTGAATTAAGAAGTTATAAAATTGAAAAAAATTAAACTTAAATTATCGGTTATGACTAATGAGTAATGCAGACTGTGATACGGGATGACGTGTTTCAAACGACATTCGGGTGCTTAGAGATTCCATATTGTATAGGTCGTCTACCCCAATCTCGGACAAATAGAAAAACAAATTGGTCATATTTTAAGTAAATTATAGAGATAGTGTCACAAACATTAAACGTAATCTACAGACACGTAACATTGTAAATTATTTTTGGTAATGCTAAAATATGATGCCTACGTGAAAATTTGGCAAAACTACAGATAAAACGTCTTATCAATAATGTAACGAGTGAATTTTTTATGGGTATCGGAGTAAAGCAAACCACCAATTCGGTGATTTTGCGTGTTCCTGCGTTGCAAGAATTTCAGTAAGTTTCTAAAGGTAATAGATACGGGTACCAACTACCAACCGAGTAATCTATTTTACGTGCCAGGTAAACTCAATTTCTCAGTCAATTATTGTGTAATTTTTAATATAATTTGACGGATCTAATAATAATACTATACAACAGCATATTTTTGAAACAATAAAATTTAGTTGTTTTCAAGCTATTAAAGTCATTAAAAAACGTTACCACTTGAGGCCCCCAACGGTCTACAGTTAATCGCTGAAGCGTATACCTGTTGAAAATTTATTGTGAAAAACATCACGTCATATAGTGGTTGAAACTACCCAAGCACAATTATAATTCTAAAATAAATAACATTAATAATATAAAGAAGATAATATAATGATATAATAAGTATAGGTATTATGTTGTATGTGCAATTTTTATCAAATTACGTATCATACACAGTGCCGGCGCTAGGGGAGGACAAATGGGACATTTGTCCAGGGCCCCGCGCTTGTTAAAGGGCCCCGTGATTTTTAATTATCATCTTGATACGAATACCGTGGTCTACCGTCGTATATTGCATTATTCTGGCTGCAGCGGTCGCGTACTTAGATATTAAACAATTTATTATTTTATTCAAACATTTTGATGAATTAATTTATTTTTAATTGATGATTTTATGTAGTTGTTAAAATAAATGTAAATTAATAAAATAAACAGCCCTTATGAATTTATTAGCCTACGATTTTCCACTCAAAGGTTTAACTGAAACTCACGCTACGCCAATAATTCTGTGCTGAGCGAGGTTTCATCAGGAGGAATCGCACTCGAATGTGTTGTCTCCGTTTACTCAAGTAGGTAAGGTAAAGTGGGGTAAGTGTGACGCAAAAATGAAAAGTTAATTTTGAATTTGACAATGCTTTTTTTGTTTTTAACTTAAAGTTGTTATTGTTCCATAATGTAACACCTCTAGATATACATAATTGGAATTTATAGTCAACAAAGTTATATTATCACTTACCTAAGAATAATTTTTTTTTTTTTTTTAATTTTAAAACGTCACACTTGCCCCTTTTCATGGGGCAAGTGCAAAATCGGATTGTTTTTGCTATTAGTATTACATAAAATTATATATGGGGCAAGTGAATAACAAAGATAAAAATAAGCTTTAATTTGATTTTTGTTTCATTAAAATATCTTGATTCATTAAGAATTGACAGAGCATTATTTAAATTTAATTATTTACCTATATTATATATAAAAACAGTACTTTTTTTAAAATCCTGATTTAAAAAAAAGCTAAAATTTCACTACTCTCTGAGAACCTAAAGGCTATTACCTATGACCAGGGCCCCGCAATACCTAGCGCCGGCACTGATCATACAAATTGTCACTTTAATCGTGACTCGGATAATCATCCATAACAGTATTCCTAAAAATAAGTGGAAATTCCGTTGCGAAAACTGTTCAGAGTCATGGCCGTTCATTTTATGTAGCGTACCAATACGTAGACCGTGAAATGTACAAGAAAAATATGATATTTGTTATCCATATTTCGGAAATTCTAAATTACCATAATATTCGATGATCAAATTACTTAAGTGTAAACAAATAATTTCGATAATAAAAAGAAAAAGAAAACATTCAAACCTTATTATCTTAACCAATTTAGTAATTATATATCAGTAGATAACCTTGACCCTCCGTTGTCTAGTTTCAACTACAGTTTTTTTGTATAAATTTAATTCTTATAATTTTAGAAGAAAATGCAAATTTATATTATTAATAAATAATAAATAAATCTATATCCAAAATATTTAAATTAAGAATACCTTACTGTTGTGGTGTTAACTGTATACTCTACCGATAATTTAAATATCGTTATTACTCTTAAATAATTTAAATACCTATAGTAATCATTATTTTAATCATTTTCGGTCTATAATTATTAAAAATACGATAAAGCCACTACGCCACGTGTCTTCAAAGTTATAGGTAATCAGATTTCATTATTAGTTAAAATGTATAAATCGTGACTTAATATATTATTTCCTAATTGACAAAAGACTGACCTGGGGTCCTCAT